GTAATGGATTCTACCCCCCCATCATCTTGAATGTTTTTAGTCTTTTTATGTATAGGATCTTTTTATATAGTCTGACTTTTTAACTAACTAACGTGGGTATTTATTTTTTTAATTGTTTTCGGGTTTTACTCTAACTGTGAGCTGCCCAGAGTCACCCTCCGGGGGAGATGGGCAGCATACAAATTTAATTAATAAATAAATAGTAATGAAGGGAACCACCACTAAACAATCCAAGGTAATGCATGGAAGGAAGAGAGATTGAGAGTTGCCCTAGTCGTACAGAGGCAAGAATCGAAGAGGCAGAAATGATATCAATTTACCTGCAAAGATCTGTGGCTTTATTCAATACATGTAAAATGTAAAATCCATTTCCAGTGAGCAGAGGTAACGCTCCTTCATCTCAGGAGAAAGGTGCCAGGGACTTATATACTTTTGCTCTGGAGTAGTTTTGTATCAGAGGCTCATAACTCAGGCCAGATCTCCAGATACATGAAGGGCTCTGTTAGTCTTTTGTCTATATTGATTGACACCAGGGACTTAGTTAATTGAATACCTTGCTGTGCAACATTTTGCCAAGACAGTTCATGACATGTCCTTTTATCCTGAACATCCAGACTCCAGCATTCCCATTTCAAGCAAGACAGTTTTGTGATAAGAACACACTGACTCTTAGATTTGCAGCAAAGACAGGAAACAGGAAAATTAAAGCTCTGTTCAACAGTTCTCCTCATACATGTAAGCCCTCAACTCAAGGTAGGAGAATAGAGTTAATGTGCTAACTTGCCTCCTCTCTCACCGCTTCTAGGATTCTAGAATCTCAGGGAGAATTCCAGAGATTGAGAAGACTTTCAGTTGCAAACTAGTGTATCCGTTTCCCTATTTAGCATATAGAAACAGAACATAGAGAACATTTTGCATATAGAAAGAGAACAACTGCTTAGACTTCACTCACAATTCTATACCATGAAAGCAGTCCAGAGTTATGGGCATAGGTACTGTCTTTCCCTCCTTAATTAGTATTTTTATGATAAGGAAAACATAAAGAGTAGCAATAGGAAAACACAGGTAGGCAACAAACTTCTTTTACTTCTTTTATTATTAAATTTATATGCCGCCCATCTCCCCCAAATGAAAGCCTATTGTGTCTATTGGGTACAGATAAATTCAAGAGTATATTATTTTAATGCAAGCTTCCTTCATTTCACCTTTTCAAACTGGTGCACACATGTAAAACTCACCTTTTAAAATCTGCACTTCTCCAAATGTTATGCTGCCATTATTGGTTTGATTGGGATTAAATCCTGCCTTTCATTCAGGAGCTTAAGTCTGAACAATTTAAAAAACTTCACCAAAATGAGTATATTAGAGAAACTAATGAACATTTGTTATGTTAGTAAACACTGATAACAAAATATACACAAATCAGTGTGTGAATGTTTATACAAACACAGACACAGACACATGCAGAAACAGGTTGAAGGAGATTGAAGGACAGAAAATTGGAAAAACTAAAAGAAATCAACATTCATAGGTTCCTTAATCCCTAAATGGATTTTTTTGTTTTGGAAAAAAAAAACTGTGGATGAGGCAAAATGATTGGACAATTAAAATTTTTAAAAAGCTTTTCTGGACTCACCTTGAGTGTCTCTTGGGTTATCAGCCTGGCACTTTCTCTGAAGTGTTGGAGAAATGAGAAAAAATTAGGTATCAGCCTTCAACTCTTGTTGGAGTGCAGACAAAAATATGACATGTTGCTGGTCTTCAGGGCACAAAATCACCTCTATTTTTTTTTTTAAAAAAAAGTTTAAACTGTTTGAAATCTTTGGGTCCCAGTGTTGCGCAATATGCTTGATCATTGAAACCCCCCCAGCAGCTGAAATTCGCATGACAACCACACTTCAAAATGACCATTGTGTGAAAGAAAGAACAAAATCCAAACACCCATTTGCCATGTGAACACATGCATGATATGAAACAAAACAGAACTATCCTCCCTGCTGGATTGAACCGGGGCAGATTTTTGTCTGAATAAAAAGTTATTGAATAAAAGGAATGTTTCTCCCTAAAATACAAGCAATGGCTTCAAAGGAAATAATATCATTCATTTATGCCTTTCCCTCCAGGGTTACTTTTAGCCTTCATTTGATTTGAGAAAGGCCCTGAAGTCACAAATCTGCCACTCTTTTTTTTAGGTTTGTTTTGTGTTTTTTCAGCTTCTGGGATGTACAAATAAATTGGCACCAAAGTCCTAAAAATAACTGCAACCAATCGTGCCACCATTTATATCCATGGCAACACTGTCTGAAGGCTTTAGCTGCCTGGAGATGGGCCTAATGCTCAGCACCAAATGCCAAGCGACAGAGAGATTGGCAGCTTTCACAAGTTGATTCTGCCCACTGGGGCATGAGACGCCGGCCCTGAATTGCAAAAAATCTATTTCCTCCCCCAAGCATATTGCAGGGCTGTTTCTTTTCTCTAGAATTACCCCCTGGTCATGTTTTCTTGTTGTCCTCATAAACTGAAGATGCTTAGCTCTTGCAGGAATAGCATCGACGTATTGCCTTGCCTTCTGATTCTTCTTCAACTCTGCCCCTGAAATGGGAAGGAATGGGATGGGTTACAAAGGGAAAACAAAGAACAACCACCCAAATTAGGGTTCGAGGTTTGGAATAGTGAGTTCCACCCAACTCACCTCGTTGGTGGGCCATATTCAATGCAAAGCTGGTAAAGATGCTTCAGCTCTCGCGTGGACAACATCACAAGGTCTTTTGGCAGCTCTGCTGACTACAGTGGAAGCACCTTTGCCCACCTTGGACGTAGATACTGCACACCAATCTTGTCAATAAAAATGGGAGGTAAAGCTGGCTAAAGATTATTCACTGCTTTTGAATTCAGTTCATACATGTATAAAGACATCAGAGGCTAAAATGAGTTTAGAGGTTGTATCCCAGAGTAGCACTCGGGAACACAAGAGCTTCATATACATCCTCAGGATATCAAACCAGCTTGAATGAAAATATTTCAAACAGGTTTGCCCACAGTAGGAGAACTACCTTTAAAAAAAAAATCCATAAAACTATTTCTTAGTCTTCATTGCCCTTTACAGTCTGAATCCCTGTACAGATAGTCCTTGTTTAGCGACCACAATTGGGATCAGCAATTTGGTCATTAATGGAGCAGTCACTAAGTGAAACTGCAACTGTGCTTATGATCTGACATCAGCTTTCCTTTGCTTTACAGACCTGCAAAGGTTGTAAATGTGGGGATTGGGCATAAAGTTACTTTTTCATCACTGTCATAACTGCATATGGTCACTAAATAAGACAGTCGTTAAACAAGGACTACCTGTATTCTATGCAATATGCCATTGTCATATGCTTAAACACATTGAACATTTCAGAGACAGGATACATACCTAAACCTCCATCTCAGATACTCTGCCTACTTTCCCTTCAATCAGACCCCAGATTGGCCCTGGTTAGCTGGGACAAAGCAAAGATGTGTGTGAGAAAGAAATCAGGAACAAGAGTGGAGGTTAGGAATGTGCGATGGAGGTGATTGTCGCTTGTTTAATAAACAAGGCTCTTTTCAAAATTCTGGAAGGAAACAGAAGGGTTAAGTTAAACCAATGTCTTTTGCTGCCCATACTTAGCCCCTAATGTCTGAATCTATCATGACAGCACCTTCAGTTGACTGCAGCTTGCTTGTCCCATTCCATGGGAACACTGAAATTACCCCAGGCATCAGTGATTAGGGGACGGAGTTTTGGAAATTAAGCACCGAGGAAACGCACTCACAGAGAGACATTCCTGCCCAATCCCGTCTTTGCTTATTCCATTTTCATTGCATTGCTAATGCTCCTTATTGTGAACCAAACATGCCCCTTTGGTTTTGCCCACGTGAGGCTGCACTGCTGGGTAGGTAGAAGGTGGAAGCCTGCTCTTGTATTGGGCAGTAGTGCCCTCTGCTGGTTACCTGTAAGAGTTTATCCAGCCTTTGAGCCATTTTCAAAGAAGAAAAGATCCCTCCACAACGTTCCTAGGTTAGAATCCCAATTTTGCCACACTGCTTCAACCCAAGAATAAAACACATAATGGGCCAGAAGGATTGCCAGGTTAGCTTCAGTTGCCTTGCATGGCGTTCGAAGGAAGTTGTGAGCTGAAAAACTCACCATTTCTGCATTTATTAGAAAAAAGAATAAATCACAGTAGAACACTATTTCACCACCTTTCAATTCTTCTTTTCTGCTTCCTTGTATTTGACCCTTTGCTGAAATTTAATAAAGTTTTAATAATTAAAAAAACAAACAAACACTAGTTCACCACCGTTTCCTCTGTACTTCCTTCACAGGACCACCTATAATCTCCAGCACCCAGACCCAGCATGCTCTCCATGGAGAAAAGGGCCAGATCAAATGCTTCATCCGCAGCACACCTCCACCAGATCGAATTGTGAGTTTGGGCCTTCCACGAGGTTGTGAAAAGCTGTGAAAACACATGGGGCATTATTGTAGATTGATATCCTTGATTAAATCAATATTTTCAGAGTGTTTGAACAACAGAGGGAGAAAGAGGGAATAAAATAGTAAATAATGCAGCATGTACCAATTCAAAGTCAAGACTAAATTTTTTTGTTTGAAGCTTGAAGAAGAAAGACCCAGATCATACTTTCTAACAGCCAAGGAGCTATCACTGAGAAGGTTCTTCTCCTGGTCACCAGCCAGCAAATCTCATTCAGTAGAGATGATAAGAGGAGGGGAACCCTCTGACATGCCCTTCCATGAAGAAATGGGCTGATTTGGATAAAGTTAAAATGGTACTTCAGCACACTAGGGATCCCAATTGGTTTGGCATATAAAATGTTTACCTTTCTGATGTTACTCATCCATAGATGTCAAAAAACAGGAAATACATACATGCATACACACATATGTATTGTCTGGACAGGGATAGTAGCTAGAAAGCATGACCAGTTTCAACTTGCTTTAATATGCAGGCCTGGTCATGGAAGGAAAATGTCTTGGAGTCTGGCACCTCGGGGCGATACACAGTAGAAACTGTCAGCACAGATGAAGGTGTCATCTCTACGTTAACCATCAGCAACATCGTCCGGGCTGACTTCCAGACCATTTACAACTGCACTGCCTGGAACAGTTTTGGTTCTGACACTGAGATCATACGTTTGAAAGAACAAGGTGGGAATTGCTTCTGTGGTATTTCAGAACCAGAAAGGGTCTCGGAGTCAGGGGAATACTTGGGTGGGGTGGATAGAAGGCTTTCCCGCTGAAAGGGAGAGAAACAGGATGAAGTTGGATGAAATAAATAAATGCAAGTTTGGCATAACTGGGGGCCTGGCTTCCTAATGGGAGAAATGTTAAAAGGCCATGTTTTAAGGTATGGACATTCACGGAGAATGGAGCAGCAGTTTCAAAGTGGGTAAGGTTCCATCAGCTTAGGAAAAACTGGCAAGAATGTTAGGAAAGGTTCAAAGTCTGATCAACAGAACAATATTCTGATTAAGAACAGTGAAAGCCTTACCTTGTGCCTATATCGTTTGATGATGATCTGAAAATGTAAGTGGATTAATCAGTTCCTGCTTATCTTAAATCAAACCTATTCCTGCTGAGAATTAACCAGGATCAAAACCGTTTAGAATTCTTAGATGCCCTGAACAAAGGGTTAATCTAAAAATTATGATTTGTACTTCCTCAACACTAAAATAATCATTTCTCTAATGTGAGCATTACTTTGTAGACATTTTTATTTTGTTTTGTTTTATTCGAACAACCAACCTTCATTTGATTCAAAGGAAACCATGGAATTAATGTCTTGGATTCGTGATAAAAAGTCCTTCACTTACTGCCTCATAACGATTGTTCTAAGTGGCAGCAAGGTAGCCAGACAAATATGGGGAATATCTTCTATGTTCATATAGAAAAAAAAAATCTGTGTTGCATTTGGACTTTTTGCTGATCTTTAGACCACTGAGAAAATGTTACAAGCTTCTACCCTCGGACATTCCCTCTTTTCCATTTTCTTCCCGTCTCATTTAATGTTTAAATTAAATTAGATGAGATGAAGGGCTTTCCCCCCCCCCCCCCT